GAGAGAGAGAGAGAGAGAGAGAGAGAGAGAGAGAGAGAGAGAGAGAGAGAGAGAGAGAGAGAGAGAGAGAGAGAGAGAGAGAGAGAGACTCGGTGGCCATACCTGTAGCGACATTACTTACCTGGGTGCCATAGTTGGAGTCCACACCAGCGACCTGCATCGGAGGCACCCGGCAGCTTGTACATGGTGGTAGTAACCTGCACGTGAGACAGCGAGGAGGGGGGCATCTTCTTCTTCCTGTTGTTCTCGCCCTCCATCTCCATCTCTTCTCTTCTTCTTCTTCTTCCTCTTATTCTTCTTCTTCTTCTTCTTCTTCTCCTTCTTCTTCTTCTTCTTCTCCTTGAGAGAGAGAGAGAGAGAGAGAGAGAGAGAGAGAGAGAGAGAGAGAGAGAGAGAGAGAGAGAGAGAGAGAGTGAGTTTACATCGGGCTATGAGGCCCAGGATCTCATTCGACATTTTTGTGACAGACATTGATTGGGCATTCGGCGGGGAGACTTTTTGGACTTTGCTATCGCGATCTTGGTCTTCCCCCTCCTCTCCATCTTCGTCTCGCTTCTCCCCCCATCTCCTCATCCGTGGTATCTCCCCCATGTGCGTGCTCAAGGAGGGACCTTTCTTCCATGTATATGGTCCCTCCTCTCACTCTCACATGTGTGGTGTATGATGGGGTGTTGCATCAGTATCTGACAGGTCAAGTCATATCTTTGAGTCTTCCTTTGTGCTACATTGTGCTATTTTCGTATGTATCTGGATGCACATTGCTTGTTGATGCTTTGCTTACGCCGCACTGTCCATTCACATCCTTTTCATCACTTTGCGGATCCTTGGGTCCATATACACTGCTCGATCGAGCATGCATCAGTTGGTATCAGAGCCTCGTGAGTGAATCAGGACCAATCAGACTTGACGCGCGATAAGGAAAATCAATCAATTGATCGATTGATCGATTTATTGATTGATTGATTGAGTACAACTTGCATACACCGACGAACATCCACATGAGAGTTCACACATGAGAAGCCAAACCTAGACACAATCTGCACTCGAAGATGTCATCGCCAATATTATTACCAATATACAAGAATGTTTGTCACCAGCGGCTCTGCCACACACACACACAGCACAGCGGGTCTCAACCCTGAGCATCTCATTGTCCGCATTGGCTGGAGTTATATGGACATTATGGAAGAGTTGGCCGGGTGCATAGGGGCTGTATAGGTGATAGGGAGACTGTGTCACAGCCGTAGCTCGTGTTGAGGTACTCCGGATCACTGCATAAACTTCATATCACGACGAAGTTTCAGACTGCTGTTGTTTTCACAAGCAAACTGTTGACTGTTTTCTCGCAGTATGACCGTTGTTTATTGGGCTAATACTCGGTGTACCAGTGTTGCATTTATAGTCGGCAGTCAAAGAGACTGTTGTTGCCATGCCCCTGTGTTTTTGGGCGCAGTACTGTTTCAGCCACGGACCACTTTTGTTAGGCTCCAGGTTGCTGAGGCCGGTGGAATTAATGTTTACACTAGCATTACTATTGCTGTGGACTGCGATCAGTGATTGCTGCTATTCTGAATAGCACTGCTGCCACCGCTGTTTCCAGCAGCAACGGGTGGACTGCTGCTGCTGACTTGGGTTTGGTACCACGGAGCTCGTGTGGTGCTGCTCTTTTTGAGGACACTATTGCTGCAGCTGTTCGCTGCTGAGGTGTTGCGGCAGACTTGTTGCTACAACAGGGTTAGCAATGGTGACTGATTAATCTTACTGTGATTTAACCACCATTGTGGGGCCGTCGGGAGGCGGAGAATGATCAAGACTGCAACTTCGACAGACAATTGGGGATTGTCATTGCTACGCGAGTTGTGATTTGCACACAGGTATAATCACTCTTATGCGTATGATCTCGTATAACCCTAGCTCTACTATTGTCTGTCTGCCTACAAGTATGATTGACAATATTTATTTCCTTTTACTTTATTCTTACTTCAAGACTTCAATCTGAGGGAAGGTTAATTAAATAAGTATGTGTGAAAATTCAGATTATTTGTGTGAATTCAGACAGAATGAATGGGGGAAGGCAGGAGGAAGGTTGGGTTTGCTTGTGTTTGACCGGGTCAACCAAAGGCTGAGCCCATTCTGAGTGTGTGGGCTCGGTGCTATGTTTCTTTTTTTGTACGTTGGGGTGTTTGCTTGATTTTCAGAGGCTGGGCCGCTCCATAAGTTGGACGATCCGGTCACATGTTTTTCTTGGGGGTTTTGAATGGTTGGGTAGTCAGAATCCTTGTTTTCTTTTGTTCTTGAACAGAGTTGGGCACCTTCTAAGTGTGTGTGTTACGGAACCAGCCAGGGCTCGATGTTATGGTGCGGCCTGGTCATACGCCTTATGTCAGTTGTCTAGGCATAATCTAGTCACACCAACTTATGGTGTGACTAGATTATGTCTAGACAACTTTTCTTATTGAACAAAGTTTGACACATTCTAAGTGCGTGTGTTACGGACCCATACGCCTTACGTCAGTTGTCTAGGCATAATCTAGTCACACCATAACTTGGTGTGGCATAGTCATATGCCCTACGTTTACTTGCTCTATCAGGCTAGGGCACCATAAGTTGGTGTGTGGCCTAGTTATATAAATTGGCAGGTTAGTCATACTCATAAGTTGGGTTGTCTGATCCTATGCTTTATGTAAAAAAGAGTAAAAGGGGAATAACAAGAGACTTGGACGAACTATGTGATCTGGAAAGGAACCTGAGGGTTGGCGAGGGATGTTATTATGCTCACTTGTGTGTGCTTTGTGGGTTTGTCTTTTGGGATATTATTTCGATAGCTTAGTCATTCTAGATGCTCGCTGAGTGCACGAGGTATAGGTAGGTAAGATGAATGATGGGAGAGAAGTTTGGGATAAGATATAACTGACCTTACTAGAAGTTATAACTAGTGCTAGCTCATGATACCATCTTCAAAGAAGGATCGTGCAGACTATCTCCAAATCTAACTGTTAAGCTAGTGTCAGAAGTTAGTCTCAAGTACAGTTGTACTCTGCTTTTGAGAGTTAGATTATTTTCTGCTAGGAGGAATTTGACAATCCGCCCTGTTTATGGGAGACGCCACTAAAATTTTCAATAACTTTTGGTACCGATTAGAGGAAGATAAGAGAAAAGTTAAACCACCAGTACCTTGCCCAGCCAAAAAAATCCGACCTCCTGAATTCATGGAGGTCATTTACAGGGTCGGTAGAGGCCAGATTGAGCCTCGGTAGAGGTGCGGGGGGTTGCTCGTTTTGAAAACGAGAAAGAACGATCAGAGAAGCATCCGAAAAAGAAAAAAAAAAAAGTAAAAGAAAAGAACAAAAAACAATGAAGAATACAGTTACAAATCCCTCTCGGTTGCTAGTGTCAGCTTTCCGTGGAAAGCGCCCTGCCTCGTTGGCAGGGCACTTTGACTAAGTGTGAAAAACAAAAAACAAAAAAAACATAAAAAACATAAAGAAACTAACACGATTGTGGGCAGATGCATGGGCTCGCTGCACTACTCTCGAAATGTGCAAAACGAGAGTGAATCTTCCATTACAAAATGGAAATACACCATCGCGATTTTTGTCTTTTGTGCATGTCCAGAGAAGTGGAGCGAGACCCTATCTCGAATTAGCAGTGTGTGAGCACAACGACCTCGCTCCACTACTTTTTACATGTGCAAACTGAGAGTGAATCTTCCTCTAGAACATGCACACATACACCCTCATGTTTTTTGTCTTTTGTGCATTTCTATAGTATAGGAGCGACGCCCCAATTACCCAGCTTGTTTTGTTTTTCTTTCTTTTTTAATGTGGTGACAACGAGTCCGCCATTTATGCCTTCCGCGGCTCGTCTGCCAGTACTCGAGTGCCCAATGCAGAAAAGGACAAAGGGGAGAAAAAAAAACAACAACACATATACGCCCCCAAAGTTTGTCTTTCGAGCATTTTGATTGTAGTGGAGCGAGGCCCCAACTCCCTCGTGCCCCCAACTTCCCAACTCTTTTTTTTTTTTTTTTTTTTTTGCTGATAAAGAGTCCGTTATTCATGCCTTTTATAGCTCCTCTGCCAGATATAGATAAGATAAGGCGACCGACATACGGCACGCCCTGACTGACGAGCGTGCCGCCTTAGGCTCTATCAGTCTATGATATGATATAAAACAAAAGTGAGAAGTAGCGAAGGGCCCTACTATATCCAAAATAATGCATTGGGTGGATGCCTTGGCATTGAGAAAGAAAGGACGCAATGAAAGGCGAAACGCCATGGGGAGAAGCTCTCTTTGATCCATGGATTTCCTATCGGGAAACCGCAACGAAGTTGACTTAGCGAACTGAAACATCTAAGTAGCTAAAGGAAAGCACATCAACCGAGACTCCGTTAGTAGTGGCGAGCGAACGCGGATTAGGCTCTAAATACCATCCAAGCAAATTAGAAAAGATTGGAAAGTCTTGCCAGAGAAGGTGATAGCCCTGTATATTTTGTCCAATGGTTTTCATTTCAAAAGGAAAACCACGAGAATAAAAAAAAAGAAGGGGGAAAACAAACGAAAAAAAAAGGAAAAAGAAAAAACGAAACCAGCACAGTACTGGTCGCCCATGTCGAAGGACCGGTAGCTCCCCGTACCATGACCAATTACCAGTTGCATTCCAATGAGACAAAGAGGTTTGTCGCATGGAAAAAAGAGAGGTTCGGCAGAGTGCTCCGGAAGGTACTGGTGGTTTAATAGAGGAGTTAGTTTATGATATGAGGTATGTTCTCCATTTATGTAGCATTCGTCCTCTTGGCTTGTACTATAATACAGGTCTACGCATTCGATTGAAGGTTCGATTCGTTCGGCTCGATCCTACAAAGGATCACTCTTCTGTGACGATCCGACCAAACATGGACCGAAACACATGGCTGATTTCTGAGTTTTGCTCATGGACTGAATGCCTTGCTGAGTTTCTTGCTTGCTACTAAGTCTGTGTGTGTGCACGCTTGCTGGACTGCATATCCGTCTGAGTGTTGGTTGGCTTGAGTGTGTGCGTGGCCCGTAAGGGCACTTGTTCGTTCATTGGGCCCTCAGGGCCGGTACTTACCTGTGGCCGTGACATTGAGGGATTGCAGCGGGGGAAAACACTCAAGTAGCAGGTAGGCTGGTACCCCACCCTGAAGAGGTAGATGTGCGGGTACTGGAGGCCGAGCAGAAGAAGACAAAAGTGACATTTTGAGAGGCCCAGTAGTTGTAGGCTAGGTCTAGGCGGGTACCAGTCCAACCAGTCTGAGTCTAGGGCCTGTACGGGCAATATCAGAGTCTGCAATGATGTTTCCCTCTGAAAGGGAGGAGGTACCATTTGCTGGGAAGGGCGAGCGGCCTAGAAGTCACCGCCCAAGAGGCAAGCATGTCGCTATATCTCCAGGTTGGGCGAAGAGCCCAACCTCATTGTCGGTGTGCAAGTTTGGCGACACACTGGTTGGAGCGCTGGCTGGAGCAACGCTACTAGGGAAGAAGCAAGGACTTGGAGGAGGAAGAAGGACAGGAAGGGGGAGGAGCGCCAGAGGTACTTACCTGGCTATGGTGGCAGCCATCTTCATCACCTTGGTGGGCGCTGCAGCAGGAAGGCCCCAGCTGGGGTTGAGCCACACCAAGAAGCTTCGAGGCAGAGTTAGGCATGGCGGCCTGAGCTAGAGCAGCCATAGCTGCTTTGGGTTGTCCTTTGGGCATCTGGGCAAGGCCTAGTAGTTCGCCATAGCCTCGGCCTATGAGAGTGAAGAGTGAGGGAGGCGGCCATGGCTATGGTGGACCTCAAGTGATACCAGCAGTAGAAGAGGGATTCGTACATTGATTCTGGTTCATCCATTCAACATTGTATTATTATTTCTCGTGTGAATAAGAGAGGAGGAGATAAGGAGGAAAAGATACTTGGGCGAAGAAGAAGAGCTTTGTCATCTGTCGATGCTGGTGTACATCTTCTTCTTCTTTCTCACTTCTTCTTCTTCTTCTAATATTCTCACTCCTCTCAAGTTCATTCATTTCTTCCTGCAATTGGACGACATTGTACTATCTGATGAATGTGTATCTCGAAATTGGCTAGGATCATAACATTGGTATCAAAGCAGATTCTACTTGCTGGTGAGAGTTTACTTTGCTGCTCTAACCCTACCTAAGCGGTTGAGGGCAACACTTCGCGTTAGGGTTGGGTGTAAGGGAAGTGGGGCAGCGTGGCTAAGGGAAGCTGCCCCCACCTGGTTAGGTCATGTGGGGTGGACATTGAACCTAACCAGGTTGCTTGAGAGTGAGATTAGGGCGGCGAGACATTTCGTGGAGACTTCACGCGACAATTGAGAGAGGGGACAGTAAGAGGCACTCACACCTAGAATCTGATTCAAGGGAGACACTTGGCAACTTAAGGGCTGCCCTCAAGTAGGCGAACTTGAGGGTCAGTGGCCATTCAGCATCTACGGACTGCAAGTTGCCACTTTGTTCTTCAGCATCAGCGGGGGACCTGGCGTTGCACTTTGGTGTTGGAGTCAAACCCTCCTAGGAGATAGGACACTAGTGTAGGGGTAGCGTTAAAGGGGTCAGGAGAACTCATGAGAGGGGGGTGAGTTCTATTCATCTCGAAGCTCAGGCCACTCAAGTAAGTGTCATGCACCTACAGGATGCCCATGTATGTGTGCATGGTATTGATTGTCCTTCTGGGGTTATTGTGGGTTTCTTTTCTACTCCTCTGCGGTCTTGATTGTGTGATTGAATGTGTGTGAACTACCTACTCACCTGATGGATGGAGAAATGAAGTATCTTGATTTGAATGCCGATTCCTTCTACAGTGCTTTGTCTTTTTATCTCTGAACGACTGTAATCTATAGGTTCTGCTGGAAGTTGAAATTCGTTTTTAGGATGGTAGAGGCAAGAACTTAGTCCAAGTGGGACTCCTCTTGGTTGGGACTCGGTCACGACCTACATGGGACCCCTCGGGACCCAGTGGGACCGGGCCCAAACAAGAAGACCCCTTGGACCCAAATCTATTAGACATTAGTCCATTCTCTTCCTGACTGAGATCCAGAATTTATTCTTCTTGGCTAGGACACCCACCGCCGAGGGGATCTCGACTGAGACGTTTCGCATGCTTTTGATCGCACCGTCCGTGGTTTGACTCGCACCCTATACACCACTCAATTCTCCATTGCTGCATTTAGTCACTCGTTGTCTGATTTGCTGAACGGACACGGAATTGGTCAGACTGGACGCGAGAGGACCTCGTATGCAGTCTGATCAGACTGGGTCGCTTGATCAGACCTCTCATGTGAAATTGTTTTTCTTTTTTTGGTTTGCTGGTGTCCAGTCCAAATGTAATGCCGCTCCGACTCAGAGTTCTACCTTCTCTTCTTTGAACTTTTCAGTCTGTTTCTTTTCCTGAGTTCATATTTTGATGCCCGTAGAGACTCACAGACAAAAGGAAGAGAGAGAGAGAGAAGAGAGAGTGAAACCCCCCCATCTTGAGGGACTTGCGGAAATGGGCGATGTAATGGCTTTTGTGGCCTTAAATGCCCAACTGGATGCAGTCGTAGAGGAGGATAAACCATTGTTCCAAACTCTCTACGAGAAGGCACTGGCAAGGGAAGAGAAAGCGGAGGAGGAAAAGTGGAAAACCGTTGTTGCGGACCATGAGGTTGTCCTCAAAACAGTCTCCTCCTTGCCTAACACTGAGGTCAGGAAGGAGATAGTCGCATATGTGCGTGCTCTTATAGATTGTCACCTACTCAGTGACATCCGTGAACAAATCACCAAACTCTCGACAGAGGTAAGCGAGTTGCGGGCGGAACTGACCGAAGTGACCAAAGAGCACAAGGATCAAATGCGGCAGATGGGAAATCTGCAGAAGGATCAGATTTATAATCCTCTCCCTCTACCTCCTGCGTCCAATAACCAAACTGTCCTCGCTCCTCTCCATTCCTCTACTTCTTCTCAAAGTGTGGTTCCATCGGGACCTGCAGTAGGTACAGACTCTGCTGCGGTGTCGGGACCGGTAGGTCCCGAATAACATCCCGTCACTCGAGAGTCTGTATATAGCTAAATTGTGCACGACAAAGCAATCTGGAGTAAGGAGGCAAGAGAGAGAGAGGACAAAGGACTACGCCGCCGGAAGGAATGAGGCCTGGGTTGAGAACCGTCGGGGGAAAGAACCAGCGATGGCAAGCAAGTAAGCGCGAGGACATGGGCACAAAGGGGCATAGCATGAGGCTAGGAGGGCCACTACAATTCGACATAACTAAGGCCAAGAGGCCGTCAACTTGTAATGCGGCGCAATGGACGACGAGAGAATGGGGCAGCCCGGAGGTGGACGACCCCGGTGGCCGTGGGACGCTAGAAATTAAGGGCCCAACGTGGGAGCCGCCCTCGGCAGTTAGCAGGGGCCTCAGAGTAGAGGCCCCGCGGCCGAAGAGACCGGCACGTGCAAGGTCCGAGAAAGACAAGGGAGAGGGGTCGTCGTGGGGCGGCAGATGCCGAAGAACGTGGGACACCCTGGGGAAAGGCACCAGGGGCCACGTGGGACTAAGTAAAAATAATGGTATCCGGGACGAAAAGTGTCGGGACCACCGGTGGGACCAAGTGTCGGGGACCACCGGCGGAACCAAGTGTCGGGAACCGCCGACGGGATAAAATGTCGGGGACCACCGGCGGGACAAGCACCGGCGGGATCACTAGCGGATAAGTGTCGGGGACTAGCATGGGACGAAATGGCGGGGACGTGAGAACGTCTCGACAAAGGACTATGAAGCAGCGTGAGGGAAAATAATTAAAGCGAGAATCACCGTCAAGATCAAAATCTTGACGGCCGAGAATATTAGCACCACTAGTGGGAGCAAGCGGGCAGACCAAAAGAAAAATAAAAAGTAAAGAAACATGAAGTGGGAGGCATAGGAGCAATCCGAAAAATCTCGGATTGGCCTCCCCCAAGAAAATAGAGTTAAGAGGGACTCCATATGAAAAATAGGCCTCCGGGAGAAAATCGGAGTATGAGGGTCAACCGTTTGAAAGGAATAGAGGCAAACGGAGGCTCTCATGGGCATGAGAAGGCCACAGTGGCAGTCCGAGAAATAACGGACTGCCCCTTGAGCATAGAGAGGGCCAAAACTAAGAGGAAGAGCCTAGAAAAGGGCCTTAACGATTAGTTGACACTTGGCATGAAAAWAAARAAAAAAAAAAAAAAAAAGGAGGGAGAGTAAGACAAAAGGAGTGAGAGGGAGTGAGTGAGTTAGCCGTCAGTAGGGACTTCCACAAGTAGGGGCTGGCAGGTCTCTACTGTCCAAGAAAGGAGGGAAAAGAAAAGAAAAGAAAAGAAAAAAGAAAGGGAACAGACAAAAGGGCAAGATTTTCTCTTGATTTTGCAGAGAAAATCAAGAAAAATCAAGGCCTCATGCAACCGAAATACAACGGATTACATGGGGGAGGAGAAACACATGTTTTAGGTGCATCCGGAGAAGGGAAAACACATGTTTTAGGTGCGTCCGGGGCCAATATTGAGTCGGGATGCACTTGAGAATTGAGCGTTTCATTTTCTTTCAATGTGGGGTAAGTGGTGGGGTTGTGGGACCAAGAAAATTACCAGGATTGTAGTCCGAGAAATAGTGAACTGCATGAGGATGCCTAGGCTAAGGGGAAATGAGCCACAGCAAGCCCAAAAGACTAGAAAAAAGTGATTTCGACATGGGGCAAGTAGAGATGGTAAACGGCAACCATGAGATGAGATCTCACGACCAAAAAAAATCGGCACACATGTGGCACCTAAGGAAGGGATATTGGAACCACCAAGGGCAAGGAGGTCCCAAAATAAAAATGGGACACCATTCGGGATGTTGCCGAGGACTAAGTGGGCCCAAATAATAATAGTCGAAAAACGGAACACGCGTCGGCGGGACTACCGACGGGACAAGAAAACGGAACTAGTATGGAGGGGAGTGGTGGGGACTTGAGGTGTCCCAAGGGAACCATGAGTCAGCACAAGAAATAATCACACAAGCAGATGGCACCGTCGAGATCGAGGATCTAGACGGTGGAAAATATTAACACCATTAGTGCAAGCACTACGGGGGATAAGTGGGAGAGTCATGAGAGAAAAGAAAGTGAAATAATGGTGTTGGGAGGACTGGCCAGCAGTCCGAGATATCCCGGACTAGCTATGTATGAGAAAATAGAGCCTCTAGGGGCTCAACATGGGAAAAAGGTTGTCCAAGGAAAACCGGAGCAAAGAGGACTCAAAATTGGGACCAACGGAGGCAAAATGGAGCCTCATAGGAGCATGGGGGTGCCATTATTGTAATCCGAGATATAACGGTCAAATGTTGAGTCTGAATCTGGCCATGGATGAGGATCCATAGCCTAGAAAAAGACTCAACAGCTAGTTGGCACTTGTCACATAAAAAATAAAAGAAAATGAAAAGAAAATGAAAGAAAATGAAGGGAGAATGAGACAAAAGGGGAAAAAAGAATGGTGGAGAATGTGCCGATCTATTGGAACCTGCACAGTACGGGATGACAGGTCCCAACTGTGACCTCATCCCTCCTAGAATGAGGGAGGGCAAGCCGGATTGCAGAGATATGACCCTTCCCAAAATTTGAATTAA